ATCAAAATCTTCTTAATATCTATTATCAAATTCATATTCGATGATTTGTCTAGTCAAAATTGATATTGATGATTCTTTCATTTCGTCTTATATTTTAAATTGATGAAATGTATTCAAAATAAAACTTTATGAATCTTGATATCTAACTTTAATATTATAAGAGGTTGATAGCCTAAAAGTAGATATATTTTCTTTACTAGTTAAATAACTAAATAACCTACTTATTCTTCTATAAGAAGGTATATTAGAAGATTGAGAAATAGAAATATCTTCTTCATCAATTAATCTAAGAATTGATCTATTTCTTCTATGAGAAGATATATTAGAAGACTGACTTGATGACAAATCATCATTATTATATATTTTAGAAATTAACCTTTTTCAGCTTATTTTTATTTTATATTGAGAAATTAAAAGAAAAATAAAAGTTCAAAATGGAGTTATTTATGAGAATGATTTTAGTGAATTTTATTTTTTTTTTTTAAAAAATGCAGTAATTTCACAAATATTTATATTATTATAATAAACTATTATTTTCCTTTTTTAATAAGTGTAAACAATAAACAAATTTCTTTATAAAATAATTTTAATGTTTATAATTATTTTTATTAAGTTCATTTTGATTTAATATATTGATAATTGTTTTTAAACATTGTATTAATTTAATGCATTATGAAAGTATTGTTTCTGATTTACTTTAAATTTATTTTGATTTAATATATTGATAAATTATTTCTGAATTTCATACTAATTTAATATATAATAAAAGTATTATTTTTGATTTACTTTAAGTCTTAATGCATGATAAAAAATTGTCTTTAAGTTTATTTTGATTTAATGTATTGATTAATTATTTCTAATTTATTTTAAGTCTTATTTAATATATAATTAAAGTATTAATTGCATTGATAAATTGTTTCTGATTTACTTTAAGTATTATATAAATTTAATGTATTATCTAATATAACTATTTGAGTTTATTTCTAACATATATATAAAAATTTATATAAATAAGCTTGATTTTTCCACTTTTTAAAAAATAATTTTAATTTAACTTTATCTTTTTAAAATCAAATTTTATCTCTACATCAAATTTCTTCTTTACAATTTTCTTTTTACAAAATATTACCAAAATTCCAACAAAAAATTGTCATAAGAACAAAAAGAATGTAAGTTGAATTTTATCAATCAACTAACCAATTTTTTAAATTATAAACTGATTTTTTGCTTTTCTATAATAGAAATATAATTGACATCAATACTAACAAAATGCCTTTAATAAAAAATATCAGCCAATGAAAAGCTAAAACGTAAGTTAAATTTTATCAATCAATCAGCCAATTTTTTAAACGATAAACTAATTTTTTTATTTTTCTATAATAGAAACACAATCAACAGTAATACTAAAAATACCCCTAATAAAAAAAAATTAGTCAATGAAGAGCCAGAATGTAAGTTGAATTTTATCAATTAATCAGCCAATTTTTCAAATTATAAACTGATTTTTTTGCTTTTCTATAATAAAAAAAAGATAAAAACATGTTTATACAATATCGTCTGAGGATGTACTAATTTTTTCAAAATATAAGTTAGTCATAATATACTATATTTATATTATACTAAATAACTTTTCAAATTATAAAAGTAGATTTAGAAAAATATAAAAATAATATAAGAAAATTCAACTTTCATCAAAATTTTAATGATAACTAATAGAAAGTATTTTAGTTGTAGCTGAATTTGAGATTCTTAATGATTCAAATGATTTAGAATCAGACATATTATTTTTAATTTATTTTTATTTATTATTTTATAATTAACAATATATTTTCTTTATTCCTACATAGAGAATCAAAAATTAAAAGAAAAACTTGCTGAATTTACTAAAAAAATCGAGAAATTGAAGTGACAAAATTCTGATCTCTTGAGAGAAAACTGATTTTTTGCCAAAATCAATGAGAAATTCAGTAAGGAAAATGATGATTTATAGGAGAAATAAAAATTTGTATATTAATATCTTATATTTATAATAACTAATTTTTATTTTTTAATATTTAAGACTTGAACAATTTAAGAGATTATAGCTGCTAAGATTATTAAGGTAGTTTAATGCTGGTCTTCCTATAAAATGAAGAAAAATTAGAAAATCTTTGTTGAAATTAAAGAGAAAAAAGCTAGTGTATTATACTAATAATGAATTAGAATCATCAAAAATAATTCTAAAAATAATAATAATTCGACAACAAAAGAGGTTAATATAAAAGAAATTAGGATATAATAAATTTTTGGTCATGATTTTTTCACATTATAAATATACTACATATATTCTAAATTTAAATGTAAAGAAATAATTGAAACTTGTTAATAATTTTATAATAAATATATAAATTAATAAATTATATTAAGAATTTAACCTATTTATATGATAATCTTTGCCTCTTATAAATTTAAAGAAAATCAAATATTTTAAATATATTATTAATATAAAAATGTGTTAAATTCTACTTATTATATATTAAGACGTTTGAAAGTACTTGAACTAGTATTAGTTTTATTAGTAGCTGATAATTAACATATTAATATCTTTTACATAACTGAAAATAATTAGTTTATTATCAAAGTAAATAAATAAAATATGAAAAATAATCTAAGAAAATCAAAGATTAAACTTAATAAATTATTAATATCAGACTTTAATTTTCCTAAATCAATTCCTATATTATTAAATTTTATATAATATTAATTTTTTATAATATTTTAATATTATCATTACTTTTAAAATAGAAAATACTTTTACTTCTTAACCTTTAGAAAAAGCTATCAAACATTTATTAGCATTATTATATCTGACTATAGGTGAAATTATTTTATTTTTTTAGAAATCTAAATATATTTAATTAAGTATATAGAGAATAAAAATTTCATATAATATGATATAACAGCTTTGATATTTTAGAAAATTAGAAAATATTAAATAATTATAGATAAATTTTGATTACTTCTGCTATTTTAGACCTTTATAATAAACTTATATTCTTTTCAGATAACTTGAGAACAAGCAATTTTAAATAAATTCAAAATATCTACAAAATATACAATGAGTAATCTTTAGTTATAAATAAATAATATGCTTTTAATAGTTAACGTTAATATTTTTATATCTTTAGCAAAAAATAAAAGTATAAAACTAACTAATAAAAAGTTTCTTTTCAATAATAAAATTTGAAGAATAAAATCAATACCTCTGATTATTAGTTGATAAAGAAACTGATCCTCTTGTATGATAAAAAACACATTTTAATGAATTCCTATTTTATATAATATTACACATGATTTTTTTCATTTAGGTAATGAAAGTTATATCCGAATAAGTATTTCAGTTGCTAAAAATACTATTATTAAATCAAGAAATCAGTTGTTTTCAGAAATTGCAAAAACATGTTTATATATAAAAAGCTGGATAGAAAATAAGTTAGCTAAAAAAATAATATTAGTTTTTTTAATAAAAGAATAAAAATATATGATTTTGCTTTTTATTTTTAATATTGCTTGAATAATCTGATTATTTTCTTCTAGTTTTTTTATATATTATTAGTGAATTGTAAACAAATATTTTTATATTTTAAATGATAAATTAAAAGGATGAAATTTTAGGATTTACTTTTGTCAAAAAACTAATTAGACTTAATATTCTAAATTTATTACTAAATCTGATTTTTATGTGATATTAATAATCTTTATGATTTTATCAGTTCTATAAAAATTTTATTGATATTCTGAATGGAACTAAACTGCTCAAGTTGAATGACTCAATTCTAAAGAACTAAACCAGTTTTCAGTTCTAGTTTCATTCTTAATTCTAAATTATGCTCAAGTTGCTAAGTTATAGAATGCTTTCATTCCTATGTTAACTTAGTAAAGTTAAGAATTAGGTAGATCCTAATATCTTAATTATAATAATAGTATCTTAAGTGAAGATTTAAAGATTCAGTTGATCTGAATTAGAAAAAATCATGGTGATAATATAGATAAATATATTACTATTCTAGTTTAATATATTTAAAATTAGTTTAATACATTTAAAATAAAGTTCAAATATGTATATCATATAACTTATTCTAAATGATTTTGAATAATGCATTACAAATGCTTAAATTTTTTCATGATAAAAAATGAAATAAGTTTGCAGATTCTCAATAAGTATTAAGTTTTTTTTATTACATACACAGATTATTTTACGTAATGCATATTATAATATTTATTAAAAATAATGTCTTATTGAATGTCTTGCTAATCACAGTAAAAATTTGGAATCAAAAGATAAGGGTGAAGGTAATATAAAATTTTATTTTATTATTCAAATTTTTACTTCTTTAGAATTAAGAAATAAACTGAATAATTTCTCAACATGTATGCAATTATTATTTACATTTGTAAAACTTTATCAATTTATAAAATAAAATCTTCTAATTATGATACATATGACCTTTTTTAATATCATGCGTATAATTCTGCATTATAAAATTTTGTATTATGAAAATTTCTGCATAATACGCGAAGTAATTCTCAATCTCTATAATAAACACACAAATTCTTCCAATCTATTTTGTCAAAACTCAATCTCCACAGCTCTTCCAATATATCTTATCAAAACTTAATTTTAAATATTAAACAAATTGCGAAAACCAATAACTTTAATCTTGGGTAATAAGAGATGTGAGGAATTAGTATCTACATTATTAAAGTGAACAAGTACTATTGAGACCGATGAGAGGCGTGATGAGGAGCCTCGTCAAAGAGAATAAGGACAAGTTAAATTTCGACAGATTACTCAAATATTTGGAAAAACCCTCCAACTAATCTTGATGATAATTATTTTTTTTTTGTTTTATTATTTAATTTTAATCAAAAAATCAAAATAGACGGAAATATGACCACGAAAATGTTGGAGCGAATTATCCAACAATGAAGGCAACGATCGATGAATTGTTATATTTATATTAATATGATGCTGTATCTCGTAAGCAGTACTTTGGGAATGGTGAATGTTCGGAAAGCTTTTATATTAAAAAAAAAAAGCTAATCCAATATATAATTGCCGTAATTATTCTTTTAACAATTGTAGGATCCGTTTTTTCCGATGTGGTCTTTATGTGTTTAATATTTTAATCAAATTCGTCACTTATGTATCTGTTGCCTTGCCTAACAAACTTTTTTTACATCGGTAAAGACAACCGTTTGCGCACTTGGTAGTTTATCTTGTTCTGCGCCGTTGTGTACTAATAAAAAAGGAGGGTTTTGTTTATGTGAGCAACTTAACTGTGACTGTGTTTGTCAAAATATTTTCCTTTATATTCGATACAATGAGATTTATTCTTGAATGTTCGAAAATGATGTAACGGCTTTAGTTATTACTTTTTAATTCCTTCTAATAATAAATATTTTTTACAAACTATAAGCTATATTCTGATAAATCCTAAAGCGTCTTAATTAATAAAGAAGGAAATATTTCGCATAGAGATTGCTTTATTAACTTGGGTAAATTTATTTAATCAATAAATAAATGAAAAAAAAAATGAAAAAGAAAAAAAAAAATATTACAATAATCTATATACATTATAATTTAAAATCTTAAAAAACATAAAAACATGAATGAATATTAACAAATAACGCATCTTTCTCCAAATAATGTTTCCAAGAAAGATGATAAATCATCTTTGGTGGGTTTATGACCAAATTCTACATATAAACAACCAACAGTTGGCTTATCTAGAATGCAACGAAATTGATATTTTTCCATAAGTTCAGCAATCGCAGGTTTTAATTTTGCAACACCATTTGAAGAATGTTTGCCACGGCCAACAATAATAGTCAAATTATCAATATTTTTTGTTTTGCAATACTGGATTTTTAATTCAGTTTTTAATAGAGCTTCTTTAACATATAATCCATGAAGGTCAAGTTCATTAGGAGGTCTATTCTTATTATTCTCTAAGGAAAAATTGTTGAGGGTGAGGTTAAAAATTTTTATAAAGAGGAAAAAGGAAACTTAAAAATATTTTAAGATACAATACCGTTAAAAATTACTTCAACAGCTTTCGAATTATATTGCTCCATTTTTTTACCATGTTCTTTTCCTTTTTGTGATAACTCTTTAGCTTTTAAGCCTTGACGAGATTTAAAAGCTGATTGTGATTGAGCGAAACATTCGTTACGAAGCTTTGCTTCATCGCCGGCAAGTTTGCGATATCTTTGATAAGTAGTTTCCGCATTCTCGGAATTAAAGAGATGAGATAATTCTTGCCCCATTCTTGATGTTTATTATGTTTATATACACTTAATTTTATTTTTTATAAAGAAAAGGCTAGATTTTTTATTCAGAGAAGAAATCAAAAAAAAAAAAAAAAAGGATAGGTAAAGCTTTTTTTTTTTTCCTAAATCCAATTAATAATGCATTTTATATATGTTTTACAATGATTGTGAAATGTTTAAAATTCCCTTTTTATCAATTTAAGTGTTTATTATTTTATTACACATACATGAAATGCCTGAATGAACGATAACAACAAAAAATTTTTTGTTGAACGCAAAAAGAAGTTACAACAGTAAAATACTCCGATGTCTCGAATTTTAGGCATGATAAAACAGCTGACCTTTATTTGTTTTACAATGAAATGAAAATCATCATTTTTTTTGTATAATTAAATTATAATTAAGTGTAATAATTTCCTATAAAGTTATATCAAGTAAATTGGAAAATACGCTTTTGGTATGCGAAAAGTGCATCAAATTATTAAAAAGGTATTTTAATTAAGATCTTTATGGCTTACATAAATCGCTCGGACTCTATAGTTTAATTAAAACAAGTACAGAAAGTTGAGAATCTTATACGATCAACCAAAAAATAAATAAATAAGGTTTGATTCATTGATACAAAATTTCGGAAATTTTTATATCGGAAATTACCAGCTTTTCTTTAAAGAATTTCAAAATAAACAGGTTTTCTGTAATTATGTAATGGTTAATTTTAGATTATACTTAACTCAAATTATCACATAATTTGAAACGTAGGTTTGATCTCACATTTCTATGACGAGAAACAAACTTTTATTTTGTTTCATCGATACGTAAAAAGAATTTTGAAGTATGAACTCATTCCGAATTTAGAATTGTTCAAATTCAAATCATCATATATAATTATTGGCGTAAACTCATAAAACATCTTTGTTCTTATATCAAACAAAGAAATCAATAGTTGAAACGACTGTTTTTTCCAATTATACACTCCCTACCCAAAAGTATTAGACCACATAAAAATTTTTATAAAATATCAAATTTTTTTTTATCTACAGTTT